TGACTGGCAACTAAAAGAAAATACACAGATGAGGGCCTAAAATAACAGACATGAGGAGAAAATATGTGGGAGTTTGTGTTACACGGTTCAGATAACGGGAATGGTCTAGAAAACTTGCAGTGGAAGACATGAGAACAGTCATTTGAAAGATGAAAACCTTCCTATTTCTGCTTAAGTTTAGAAAGTAGGATTAAGTTGAATTTTTTGTGGCCTTTTCTAAACGCTCACATTTTCATGAATACCAAATTGGGCAACTAACAAAAACGTTTTGAGCGCTCTTGAGGCCATGAAGCATAGTGCCCTCGGAGTCCTGAGGACACCCAAGTTTGTTTCTGTCCACCTGGATCTGAACTCCACATAGATTCAGCTGCTTTTAGGAACTCTGTTCCTAAATTTCTTGCTTGCACAAAAAAGTCACGATCTAAAGTTGAACCCAACCTTTCCCCTTCTCCCAGTCCTCAAGTCTGTTCTCTCCAACATTCCCCACCTCAGCAATGGCATCGACATACCACCAATACCCACTCACAGGTAATCTCTGCACCCAACGTGGAGCTCAAACCCACAACCCCGAAATCAAGAGACGCATGCTCCACCGACAGAGCCAGCCAGCCCCCCCCCCTTCTTTATGCCCCTTTTCCTTTTCCCCTTGGTTCTTCCTCCTAAAGGTGATTGTGTTAAGACACCCAACGTGCCAACCACTGAAGAAAGCCCTTGCTTTATGGTCATCTGAGTAAAATTTAAACTCGTAGTAGAATCAAGAATTACAAGTACAACAAACATATTACTCATTTCTAAAATGGCACTCATCATTAGCTCCCAGGCATTCTCTTACAATTTGAGTATACCTGAGTACTTGGAATTAATTATAAAATTAACTTATTTGAAAGTATAGTACATACATGGAAGGATATCTGTAAGATTTTAAGAGTCTCATGCTCTACCGACTGAGCTATCCGGGCGCCAAGATTTTATTTTTTTTTAATTTTTTAATTTTTTTTAAGATTTTTATTTATTTATTTGATAGAGAGAGAGTACAAGTAGGCAGAGAGGCAGGCAGAGGGAGAGGGAGAAGCAGGCTCCCTACTGAGCAGGGAGCCCGGTGCGGGACTTGATCCCAGGACTCTGGGATCATGACCTGAGCCGAAGGCAGCCGCTTAACTGACTGAGCCACCCAGGCGCCCCGGGCGCCAAGATTTTAAATAATCTACCAAAAGAGAGACTATCTGAAAAGTTGGGGAACTACTTTCAACCATATGTGTGTTCCATTTCCTAGTTTTAGTACAGATGGTCCCCAGCTTAGGATGGTTTGACTCACAATTTTTCGACTCCACGATGGTGCGAAAGCCATGTGCATTCAGTAGAAACTGTACTTTGAATTTTGATCTTTTCCCAGGCTAGCGATACGCAGGAGGACAATCCTCTTTCACGATGCTGTTCAGGGCAGCCAGCTCCCTGCCAGCCACACGAGCAGGAGGGTCAACAATCCATAACCATACACTTACAGCCATTCTGTTTTTCACTTTCAGGAGAGTATTTAGTAAATTACATGAGATGTTCTACACTTCATTATACAATAGCCTTTGTGTTAGATGATTTTGTCCAACTGTCAGCTAATGTAAGTGTTCTGAGCAAGGTAGGCTCTGCTGAGCTGTGAAGTTCTGTAGGTTAGGTGTGTGTTGTTGTTTTAAAGATTGTATTTATTTGACAGAGAGAGAGAGATCACAAGTAGGCAGAGCGGCAGGGAGAGGGAGAAGCAGGCTCCCCACTGAGCAGAGAGCCCGATGCGGGGCTCGATCCCAGGACCCAGGGATCACAACCTGAGCCAAAGGCAGACACTTAACCAACTGAGCCACCCAGGTGCCCCTGTAGGTTAGGTGTGCTAAGTGCTTTTTCAACTTGTGATAATTTTCAACTTACGATGGGTTTATTGGACATAACTCCATTGTAACTTGAGGAAGATCTGTACTTGGTTTGAGTGATTTCCTTTTTATCAATTTGAACAGGGATATTCTCAATATGTAAGCAATGCCATGTGCTTGAACTTAATCTCGCTTAGTCCAGCAAAGTAGTCATTGGTGTGCCAAATGTAGTGGAATTGAGACAGAAATATTGTTTAATTTTACCCCAAATAGGATTTATCTTTTTTTTTTACTACCTTTAACAAATCAGCACTTCATGTTTCTTTATGAAAACAGAAGTTTGTGTGTTTACATGTTCTTAATTATATCTGCTCTAGTGAAAGAGTAGAATTTGCATATATTAAGATTTTCAAGGAGATCTTACTAGTTTTTTACTTTGATCTTTGCTCTGGGTTATGAGTTGGCTGGTTTTGTTAGTCACCCAAGAATTTATGATGATGATACACCTGTTAAATATACATGAGGTACTAATACTGTCATTTAGCTTCCCAGGAAAGTCAAAAGACAGGACTAATTGTCCACTTTAAAGGTGTATAGATTTCAATACTGATATTTAATCAGTTGTGACTGAAATGTCAGAATTTTACTCCCCAATGACTTAAACAAAAATTAAAGTATGTGAAAAGATTTTATATCTTTGTAGCAAAGTGGTCAAATAATGGGAACTAAATATTTTGAATGAGTGAATGGAAAAACTTTACAGGGCTATTAAAAGGTAATTATTTATAATAATGTACAATATCTTGATCTGAAGTTGAAATTATTCTTACCATCATAGTGTCGACCAGTAAAGAACATCTCCAGTAAGGCTTTTAGTAAGAACTTTCAAATACAAAACCTTTTAAAATAAGGTAAGGTTCAGGGGTGTCTGGTGGCTCAGTTGGCTAAGCATCTGACTCTTGATCTCAGCTCAGGTCATGATCTCAGGGTCATGAGTTCAAGCCCTGAGTTGGGTGTGGAGCCTACTTAAAAAAAATAATAATAATTAATAAAATGAGGTAAGGTTCTAACCCTAAAAGCAGGTCTCCTGGTTTATGCAATGAATAGGGGAAAGGAGTGGCTCAAGCTGTTGAGGGTTCATTTTTTGGGGGGGGAAGGAAAGCTTTTTAATTTCCCGGTGGGCATAAAACATAAATATTTCAAATTTTAATTTAAATGATTAGGTAAATTTCACAATTTTTTCTTTTTGTCAAAAAATGACACACTGGAGAGACAGCCCAGCAATCCTCCACTGTAAGGGGGGGAAGAAAGGAAGACAAAAAAGGAAACAAAATAACAGGGTCACAGTCCACTTTCTTTTTTGGATCCCTCTACTAATCTCTGAAAGATAATACATTCAAATCCTGTCCTTTTCCCTCAGTGAAAGATTTAGGCATTTTGTTGGCTCTCAATTATTTTTAGGAAAAAATTACAATGTTACTATTTGTGAATACAAGAAGTAAATCTTTGATCCTATGGTAGGGAGAACTATTTTAAAATAATTTCACTTCAAGGCTTCAAACAGGAAACCCCTAAAAGAATTGGAAAACTTGTTTTAACCCATGAGAGTTGTTTGGGATTTGATTTGTTACCTGGCTTTCCGGGAGATTTAAAAACTCAAGAAATGTACCGGGGGGCGGGGGGGGGGGGGGGGGAGCTTGTTAAAGGAATAATCAGTTATGGTTAAAGCCTCTTTTCAGTAGTTTGACTATTGATTTCTAACTAATGTAAGTTTTCCTTTTAATTTTAAGCATACACATAGTGATCTAAAGATATAAAACCTGAAGCATAGCTTAAATGATTAAACGTTAAAGGTTCAAAGGAAAAAAAGCTTAATAATGCCTTTGTAATGTGAATGGCAAATACATCAATTATAGACTCGGTGGACTGTGATGGACAGCCATGTTTAAAGTGAAGGTACCTATAAAGCCAAAGAAGCCACCCTCCTCTGGTGAGTCAGAGTATTAGTAACTTAAGGAGGAACTCCTAGTGGCAACAAAGTGGAAAGACATTCTTCTCTCTTTCATCAATGGGAAGTCGTCTGGAGGGGAACACTGGTTAACAAAATCTCACCAAAGACACTTAGATAATGATTCACTAATTCAGTTTAAGTCACACATTATACTATTTACCTTAACCAACGAGCAAGCTGGTCAATACGGAAAATACCGCGTTGACTTGCCTCAGTCTCTACGTCAATAGTAATCGTCCACCCCTTACAGCTTTGTAAATTCTCCAGACCCTGAACTTTTCTTTCAGTGTTCATCCCCGAGCCTCTCAGTGCCTGGCACGTAGCCGGCATTCAACACATCTTGGGTGAGCTGATCAAAGCTGGCAAATAAACCTTCTCAAGTTGCTGTCGGGGGGTGGCCAGGCAAGGGTGAGGACAAAGGAATTCAAGTTCTTCCCACTGGAGCCCAACACCACCTTTATTATCCCCATAATGCCCGGAGCTGTGATTTGTGGGTGACTGGGTCCCTCGTGAGGCTGCACTGCTTCCGCTTGTGCAGTCATCTCCTTCCCCTCGCACTAAAACAATACCTTGGCCTCCTGCCAAACTTCGAGCAGCGAGCGACTCTGGCTGTTTATGGCCCGAAATGGGTGCTGCGAGAGACTGGGGCTCTCCGAGTACTGAGAGAGGCCCAGAGGAAGAGAAGAGGCCAAAGCTTTAAAACACTCCCTTCCTCCGCCCCCCTCCCTTTTGTCCCAGACACCAAAACAAACGAGCTGATACACGTGTCCCTATGACTCTTGTTTACTATCAAGACAGCGCTGTGCAAGCACCTCTGGGATATGTAGTCCAACCGGTTCCTCTTGCCAGCAGTGTCCCAGAACAGAGCAAGGCTGAGACTACGAACCCACAATCCATTTCGGGGGCAAAGTTTGGCTTCGGTCCCCGGCGTCTCGGCAGCAATCCAATCCGAAGCGCTCACTCTTGTGATTGACAGGCCGTCTTCTCCAGTGAACACAACACAAAAGTCAATACAAGCCCGCCTCCCGAGACGGACCACGGTATCACCCAATGGGAAAGGGGAAAGATCGAATGGCAGTTCCGTAGGCCAATAAGAGGGCGAAAGATCTGGGGGGTGGCTCAACCCCCCGGGGGGGTTGAGGGGAGGGGGGAAGACGAAGCTTGAAAGACTTGGTAATGGCGACGGGTTTGGTAAGTAGGAAAGTTTCGGTTGAGGAGTAAGAGCGGCGGCGGGAGCAGTAAGGCGCGCCGGACAGACCGGCGTCAGTCGGAGAGGGGGTACACGAGCCGCTGGTGGTGTTGTCGCGTCCAGGGCGGCCCGCGTCGGGGCTGCCCGCACTCCGCGGCGGGTTTGTTGTCTTTCAGTTCGGGAAGGGGTGGGGGTGGGGAAGGGAGGGGCAGGATCCCGAGGGGAGCGGGCGGCCGGGCGGCTCGGGTCCGCGCTCCTCTTCTGCCAAGGGCTGCTCTCACAGTGGGAGCAGTTAACCGTCCGATAACTGCCCGCGGCGAACCCACCGGACCGGCGCCTCCCGCGAGTTCACCTGGGCTTCGCGGCGGCCGGGCCCGGGGGGTCTCGGGGGCTGGGGCTGGGAGGAGTCGGCGAGGTCGGCCCTTCGGGCCCGGTTGCGCGGTGGGTGGCCGGGCCGGGTGTGGAGATGGGGCGGGCCTGGGCGGGGGGAAGGGGCCGACGCGGCGCCGGGGCTGCCCAGGAAAGTTTGACTTCAACTCCGGGCGTGTGGGCGGAGGGTCGGAGGTTGGCCCCGGGTGGGCGGCCGGCTGGGGGTGGGGGACCCCAGTGAGGCGCCGCCTCTTCTGGGGGTCGAGGGGGGCTCGGCCCGAGCTGGGAAGCTCGCGGAGCCGCTGGGCCCCGGGGCTCATTGTTACGCATTTCGAATGAATGGGCTCCGAGGCGCCTGCGCGGTGCAGCTGAGCCGAGGGGAAAAACAAGCCTGGAGTCCAGGCTGCGGTCACATGATGGGGGGAGGGGAGGGGAAGGCGATGAATGGCGAAAGAGGGTGGGGGATGGACTTGGCTTGAACCGGGAGGCGCAGCCTCTTTGACCGAGAGCCCAAGCTTGGCAGGCGTTTCCAGTCTCCGCCTTCCAACCTATGCTGCCCCAGGCCGATTAAAACAAACAAACAAAAGAATCCAGGAGAAATCGGCAGCGGGGGCCCGGTTTTTGTAGCTTCCCTAAGCGGTGCACGGCGTCTGGGGGATTTCACTCGCGGCAGTGCATTCTCCACTGCCTAGAGTTCGTTCTTCAGGAGTCTTCAGCAAGAATCGCTTTTTAAAGGGAGCGCTGACGACAAGGCTGTACTCCAGTCTTTAGCTCAGGCTGCTACTCAGGCTAAGACGGGAGGAGGGTAATAGGGAGCTGTGTGTGCTAGGAAGTGTTGGGAGTCCTACCAGCAGTTCCCGACGAAGTGCTTTAGATTTATTTCCCTCCAACCAGCGGTAACAGATGACTCCAACCTTGGTTTTGAATTAAAGTCACCTTTTAAAAATTAGAAGAATTTTTGACATCTGTAAATACTTTTCTGGTGTTTAACTATTCATAATGCTCTACATTTGTAATGTATTCCTAGTATTTCGGTTTTTGCTTTTTTTCACCCCCCTCTGCTCTTGTCTTTTGTTTTAGCTTGCTAACAAGGGTGTTAGGGTCGGCTGTTCAGTTTCCTTGATTAAGCTACAGTAGTTTATCCCTCCTGACATGTGGAAGATGTGTTCCCAGACCTGTGGATGCCTGGAACTGGGGATAGTATTGAACTCTCTATATGCTGTTTTTTCTTATGATAAAGTTTATAAATTAGATATTAACAGTAATAGTTAATAATAACATAGAACAATATGCTGTAATAAAAGTGTGAATGTGGTCTTTCTCAAAATACCTTATTGTCCTGTACTCACCCTTGATGATGTGAGCTGATAAAATGCCTTATTTGGTGAGGTGAAGTGAGGTGAATGACCTAGGCATTGTGACTTGGTTTGGCTGCTATTGACCTTCTGACTTTAGGTCAGCAGGAGAATTAACTGTTTCCAGACTGGGTTGACCTTGGGTAACTGAAACCAGAGAGAGGGAAATCTCGGATAAGGGGCGATCACTGTAATCCATTTTAAACACCTCAATTCCTCATGTTAGAGATCTAAATTAATTGCACACGACCTTCTCCTCGTCCCCTCCCCCCTAACAATTTGAGCTTTGTAAAGAAGTCCTTTGGGATTAGGGAAGGACATATAGAAATCCTTTCTGTGATATCCCTGAGGGTTGAAAGCTAGGGATTTAAGGAAGAATAGGCACTTGAAAGTAGGAGTCTAATCTCTGTTGGTCTATGCCTTTTGTCTCTTTTCAAAGAGAAAATGATCACATTCAGTTGTCAGACTGCTGTTTTCCTCATCCATAAGAATAACTTTGTTCACAGAGCTGTTTTAAGGTTTTTATGAAATTAGAGGAAGTATGTCAAATGCTCTGTACATAGGAGGTAGGCATTTAGTAAAACCTAAGTTCTTTCTTGGCCATCCATGGAGATTTAGCTATTTCTGGTTCTCTCCACCTGTCCTCTTTCTCAGATTTGGTGGATAATTATTTACGAAAAGTTGCAAACAAAAGCAATAGAGCCTTCCCATGTCCCCCCAATAAAAATTTGTAAATTGGACATGCCATTTCAAAGCACAGCTGCTGGAGAATTTTACTCTTCCCTTTTGAGAATCCCTGGTGTAGTTGCAGAGTTATCTCCAGTACAAGGCAAGCTATGTCAAATCCTGTAATACCAAAGCAGTATGCAAAAGTATGAATGAACAATAGGGTTAGCTCTACCAGGAGATATTTGAAAGAGAAGCTTGTTTATCAAAATGAATGTGTAATTGGCATAATGTATGTGCGGGAGAATTTTTGACTGTGGACCCTTTTGGTATCCTTTTACTGTATTAGAGGTCTTGCTTCCCTCAAATAGTTTGACAGAGGAAAGTCTGAGACAAAAAAATTCACATTGGTATAGGGATTTGAATTTTGTTTTCATGTATTTTATTTAATTCTCCCGATAGCCCAGTGAGATAAGTGCAGGTGCCGTGAGGCCGAGGTTAAGTGGCCTGCCTCACATTCCATGTGAACAAGAGGGAACCTCCAGTCTTCTGACTTAGGTCTAGGCTCCCATTTACTGTGCTGTAGGCTTGCAGAAGCACTACCTCCATTATCTCAAGACCAAACTTTTGATAGCCTTGAGCAGTGAGAAGTTCACACACACAGAATTCAAATCCAACAAATACTTGGTGAGTATTTTGTTAGCGGGGCCGTAGCTCTGTTTTGAAATTGAAATGTCTTTTTCCCAGCTCCCTATAAGGAATATTGTGAGGGGATTTTGGGAGATCACGAACACAAGGGGCTGAAGAAATTATAGAAGTTGCAGAAGATGTTAGTGTACTGTAAATGGCAAGTGGGGACAGTGCAGGACTCGCTGATGGGGGAGGAGAAGATCTAGTTGGACGGAGAAAGCCAAAAAGTTCTGTAGAGGGAAGGGGAGGACAAGACAAATTGCAGCTCTGCTTCCCTGGATCCCCGAGCAGCTCTGCTTCGTACACTTAAGGATGGCTCTGAGGAGATACATAGGTATGGTGTGACCTCTGAACTTCATACTCCAGATAAAATGAGAAAATGGTCAAGTTTAAGATTGATTGCAGCTGGGGCTGACTTTTGCAGGTCACATCCTCTCGTAAGGCATATTACAACAGATGTTTATAAGGAGCTTGAGTCACTAAGATAGGTTCATTTGTTGTGTACACTTAAAATGTTGGAAAATTTTCTGTGAGAAGACTTCAAACCTGCTATCTAAACTGGAAATATTCACTGTTCAAAGAACTCAGAATGACTAGTTCCTGTCATGTCTTAGGCATTACTCAATAAGGAACCTGCAGTGATACTACTGATTTTCTAAGAACTCTTGCAAAGGACGCTGGGAGCAGGTGGCTGACAAATTGGGAATGTGAATACACTGTTTTTAATATATTTTCCCTTAAATATGTGTTATAGATGTTTCTGCATACTCATGTTTCAGTATGATTTGCTTTATAGGCTTAAAGAAAGTGTTTATGGTCCTGATCACATCAGACCTGTTCAAAAATCGTCAGTGGTTCCTCATCGTATGCTAATTGCTTATAATACTGGCCACTCTGCATCGAGGGTTTGCTCTGTGTTAGGCACTACTGTAAGCTTCTTATATTTGTTAGCTCACTGAGTCTTTACAACAACCTATGTAGGTGTTTTTATGATTTCCATTTTACATAAAGATTTTTAAATAGCTTGTCCAGGACACATAGCTAGTAAGTAGTAAATCTGATTATAAACTCAGGTAGCCTAATTTCAGAGACTTACTCTTGTGTACAAAAACCAAAGAAACCAATTTTTCTAAACTAGGATTGAAGATTCTGGCTCAGTCCACCTTTCCAGCCTTGGTATCCATGACCACAAGACACACAAGGCCAGCCTACCTTCTGGTGGTACTGGATTTTATGTTGTTTTGATTTTATCCATTACTTTGCAGACTCTGCAAGTTTGCTCATGTGAGTTTCTCTCATTGGAAGGCTTTTCTTCCTTCCTTTTTACCCATTTGTAGCCAAGCCCTGCTGTGTAGAACTGTGGTTATTTGCTTATATCTTTCCACTAAAGTACAGATTCCTTGAGATTCAAGACACATGTTCATCCTTGAGGTCCAACATTGCAGCTAGTATAGTGCCTTGTACATAATGTATATTCAATAAATGAATATGCGTATTTAAATAGGAAGGAATTTGGTAATCATTTTTAGCTCACTTGTTCTCACAATGCACCTGGTATTCTCTGGAAAGAAAATAAATAAAAACCAGCGCATAGGGTTGTACCCCAGACCAAATAAATCATATTCTCCGGAGGTGGGGCCTTGGCATCATCTTGTTTGAAGCCCACATAATCACATGCTTGAGAACGATCTAGCTAGAGTGTGCTTGATTTTTGCAGTGTGATGTGGAGGTTCAGAGTAATGATTTGGCCATTTTATTCTTGAGAAATCAATTTGTGTTACTACATCTTTTGTAGCCACCAGTTTTGTAGGAGATTATTCGTTATACCTCAGCAGATTTGCTGTTAACCGTATAGTGAGACTGTGATTAGTAGATAATAAATTGTACTAAACTGGAAAAGTGTTCATTTCTTGTGAATGCTTGGACATCTTTTGGATAGATAAACTGTTATTTCCCTGAAATAATGGCATGATCCATGACTTTTATTAAGTGTTGGATAACTTGTCATATTATTGAGGAAGGAAATTGCTGAAGCTGAATAAACTACCTGTTTGGTCTCCGTATCATTAACTATTTTCAGTAACTTCTATTTAGGACGTTAAGTGCCCAGAGTATGTATAAGGTTGCGCTGTGTCAGTCTAGGGATAAAACATTTTGTGAAGAAGTCATTTTATATTTCTTTTACTCACTGTGTCTCATTTCATCCTCATAACCCCTGTAGGAGGAAAATAGAGCAACTGTTTGACAGATGAAGATAACTGAGTTAGTGAGAAGCTCAGTCACTTACATCAGATAGTGGTCAAGCTGGACTCAAAACTCATGATTCCTTACATCTGACCCAGTGCCCTTTTCACTACTCTGTAGAACATCTTAGTATTGAGTAAGACTCTAAAGCAATGCCTAGGATCTGGGTCATTTTTGAGGGGTATAGGCAGAGAGAACCTGAAGGAGGTTGTTAGAAATAAAGTAAGGCAACAGCAGTTTGGTTACATGTGTCAGGAACCGTAAGAAGATGTTTAATTGCCATTCACCTACTAATGTGTCTCTAGAAATCTGAAATAATCTGATATAAGCAGATATTTTTTTTAAAATTTAAACTGTTGTTTAGAAGAGTAAAAACCCTGGGAATACCATGTTCAGCAGTAGGAGGGATAAGGAAATTTTGGTATATCCTAATGATGTATATTATGGAACTATTTAAAATAGACCTGTAAGAAAAATTAGTGACATAGGAAAATGCTTATGAACTTATGCGAAGGAAAAAGGTATCAATTATATATAATACAAAGTATGAAGGAAAATGTGATTGTAGGTGTCTGCATGAAAAAGAGATTGGATTGTAAAACAGTATACCAAAATGTTCACAATATCTAAATCTGGTTGGTGGGATTAGAAGTCATCCTTTCTGGGGCGTCTGGGTGGCTCACTTGGTTAAGCGTCCAACTCTTGATTTCGGCTGAGGTCTTGATCTCAGGGTCCTGAGATCAGCTCCCTGTAGGGCTCCACACTCATCAGGGAGTCTGCTTGAGATTCTTTCCCTCTCAGGGAGTCTGCTTGAGGTTCTTTCCCTCTGCCCCTGCCCCACCTCCACCCGTACAAGCCCTCTTTCTCTGTCTCTCTAAAATAAATAAATAAATCTCTTTTTAAAAAGTCATTATTTCTTTTTTAAAAAAAATGCTTTTTAGGGGTGCCTGGGTGGCTTAGTCGTTAAGCGTCTGCCTTCAGCTTAGGTCATGATCCCAGGGTCCTGGGATCGAGCTCCGCATCGGGCTCGCCTGCTTCTCCCTCTCCCACTCCTCCTGCTTGTGTTCCCTCTCTAGCTGTGTCTCTCTCTGTCAAATAAATAAATAAAATCTTTAAAAAAATAAAAATTTAAAAATGCCTTTTTTTCCATTTTTTCCCCCTACAGTGATTATGTATTTTACAGTTAGGAAAACATATTTCATAATAAAAAGATCATGAAAAAGCCTTTCTAGAAAAAAATTGTCAGTGTTTGTTGGTGATTATGTCATGGCTTAGAAAGCTCTGGTGTAAATACTGAGCAGTTAACGTCTTTTCACTGCATTTTGATCAGCATAGGCCCAGGTACTAGACTTTTAGTGACTTTAAATTGTAGTATATTTTATTGTCTTATTTTGAGGAAAAGCTATGTCATGTTAGATTTCTTGTGTGTATTTCATATTAGCTCATTAGAACTTTTTTTTAAAAATGAGATTTGGAGTAAAGCCTGAGAAATCAGGAAATCTTCCTGCTGCTGTCACCCCGGTTAAATAACCAATTTGATCATTGTCCAAAGGCAGAATGTAAAAGGTATAAACACATTTTACTTTCACAACGAAATTTAGTTGGTAGACTTTGCTAGAAATCATTTAGGTATATTAACCTATGTTATTTTCTTCCTTGTGATAGCTTTGTAGGCTTAGGATGAGGATAAATTTACTATTTGTTTAAATTTCCCATGATTATTATTCATCTTTCTAGAAATAATAAGCTATTCAGGGGACAGGTATCTTTTTATGATGGCTGGGTACCAAACTTTCATAAAGAAAATGTAGCATTTTTATTTTTTTGAGAAGTGTACTATATGGCCATTTTAAGAAACTCTTTCTTAAATGTCCTTCAGAGAATGTTATTTTAAGTATGTTAAACTTTACTTTCAGAAGATGAGAAAACAAAATAACAAGTTGGTAAACAGAAAAAGTGAAATAGAATCTTCAAAAATGAAAAAAAATAGAATATTCCTTCAGTTTTTCTTTTTTTAATTTAATGGAGGAAAGTTGGTTAATTTTCTTTTAAATTTGAAGATACAGGGGCGCCTGGGTGGCTCAGTTGTTGGGCGTCTGCCTTCGGCTCAGGTCATGATCCCAGGGTCCTGGGATGGAGCCCCGCATTGGGCTCCCTGCTCGGTGGGAAGCCTCCTTCTCCCTCTCCCACTCACCCTGCTTGTGTTCCTGCTCTTGCTGACTCACTCTCTCTGTCAAATAAATAAATAAAATCTTTTTTTTAAAAAAAATTTGAAGATACAAGTTGAAAAAATGGTTTTCTTGGTCTCTGTGTTTGGGTCTCAGAGTTATTTAAAGAGATAAAATATATAATAGTGCTATTCTTTTAAAGAAAAGACTTTTATAAATTTAAGATATTAATTCTTTTGGATTTGGGTATAATTTAGTGCTGACTACATGGTTGTAGCCCAAGAAATCTGGGAGTCTGCTCTAAAGGATTTGAGGGGGATACAGATGGCAATATATGATTAAAGATAAAACATTATGAGTCTCTGATGGATTTGATACTTCTGTAATCTCCAGATCACATGACTTGATACTTTTTTCTTTATTATTTTTATTTGAAGTCGGAGCACCATAACATGGTGTGGGAAGTGAAGACAAATCAGATGCCTAATGCAGTACAGAAACTCCTGCTGGTGATGGACAAGCGAGCTTCAGGAATGAATGACTCACTGGAGTTGCTGCAGTGTAATGAAAACTTGCCATCCTCACCTGGATACAACTCCTGTGATGAGCACATGGAGCTTGGTAAACAAAATTAAGTTTTTTAGGAGTCTGAGATTCATAGTTTTATGTTAAGTCAGCTTCTTCACCTGCCTTAAACTGCTTAAAAGTATGTGAAGTTTTTGTACCTTAGGAGTTTACAATGTTCCATTGTTACTGCTTGTAAAATATTACTTAAAACAAACCTAACTTTGGGCTATTTATGGTTATCATCGAGACTGATTTACAAATTATCAAACTAAACTGCTGTCGTGGGTAAAGGCTGGGCCAGTAAACACCTTGGGAAAATCCTGTGTATGGCTCATGTGACTTTTGAAACCTGCTGGTGAGCGTAGTACATTGTGCTCGGCCCCGCGTGGCCCGTTTGTGGCTGTGACGGGCAAGGTACGGCGGACCCTTGAAACTGGAGGGTCTGACATTTATGGTCATCACACTGCCGCCGAGCCGCCCCTGGGATGCGTGGCCAGTAGAAGCGTGTAGGCTTGTGAAGGTAGGGCTTGGAATTGTACTGCTGGGAGGCTGGTATCGAAGAGTCAGCAGCCAGTGAGTGACCTGGGCTTGCGGCCCTGCTTTTCAGCTTGGCTCTGTCTGCATTTAATGTGCGGCTTGCCGAAATGTCCACAGAGCCACGATTAGCCTCCGTTTACGAATGATAGGACAGAGGAGGCTACATGCTGCTGCGCTCTTTGGGAATTTGGAGACCCTGCAGGTCTTGGGACATTTCCCAACGGGTTGCTGGGCTCTGCGAGTCACTGAGTGGTGGGTGCCGTTGAGCATGGAGCGCCACCAGTCCACCATTTTCAGGAGGACATCAGGAAGTTAGGGCGGGGTGGGGGGGTGGCAAAAACTCGCACCACAACCCACTGCTTGGGTTTAAAAGCAGTTAATTTCCTGAGCTTGAAAGACAAATGAACCCTTTCCACCCAGTGACTGAAGAAGTGCTGGCCCCAGAAGGCTGTCAGCAGTGAGGGAAGGCGAACAGCTACAGCAGCGCGGGAGTTACAGGGTGGGGTTTGCCTAAGTTGCTGTGATGTTTTTCAGCTGCTCAGTCAAAGGGGGATGGCTTCTAGTCCATTTTTGGACTGGATATCCTGAATTAATACTTGTTAAGTAAGACATTTCAGTTTTCATAGGCTGTTCTGAGATATTTGCCTTGAATGGGAATTCTGTGTCTGTATTTTTATAGTAACAGTTGACCAGGACTCCCAAGGCTAGAAGAATTTCCTGACTTATGTATTGAAGGGACCCAGCGGATCTGTAGTTTGTTGTAGGTGTGTTTCATAAAGTTTTTTTAAGGCCTGTAAGAGGCTTTTTCTCCTCTCCTTTTTCTTTTTTTTTTTTTTTAAATATTTTTTTTTAGAATTCAGTCTTCCTTAGTGTTCATAGCTGTGGTATGTGTACTTGAGCCTTGGGAACACACCTTTAAGAAAACATAACCAACAATTATTGAGTTTAGAATTTCTCAGTCAAAAGAAATAATTTAGCATAGATTAAGTTGAATAAGTACTACCTAAAACTTTATAATATGACCTATTGATCTCATCTTTAAAAATTGTTCTCATTATTGCAGTAATCTTCTATAACAGGGTAATAAAGTATGGGAGTAAGTACATATGTGTACACATAAAATGCTTTTTTCCTCATTAACATGTTAACCTAAAAACGTCTTGTTGGAATATGGACTAATCCGGTGAACTATTAAAAAAAAATCAGAAAACGTAAACACAAACTTTTTCCGGTCTGGGAAGAGGTGTGGTAATTCAAGTCATCAATACATTTATATCTGCTTGGTCTATTTCCCATCAGGCTCTGTTGACCCTGGAATGTAGAAGGTGTCATTATTTAGATCAAAACTTGTTCATTCAAGAAAACATTTCAAATTTACACTTCTCACAAAATTAATTAGCTAGATTTAAGGACTTCTCCTCCAGCTATAATATAACATTATTCCCCCTGTTAACAATTTACTTTTTATAATTTTGAATGTGTTTATTTGCAGATGACCTTCCTGAACTTCAGGCTGTTCAGAGTGATCCTACTCAATCTGCCATATACCAGCTAAGTTCAGATGTTTCACATCAAGAGTATCCAAGACCATCTTGGAACCAAAATACCTCAGACATATCAGAAAATACTTATGGTGAAAATGAGGTGGATTGGCTAACAGAATTAGCAAATATTGCCACCAGCCCACAGAGTCCACTTATGCAGTGCTCGTTCTACAACAGGTGGGCACACTGGCTCTATTTTTATTGAAAACTTCTATCATTACAAAGAGCTACTTTTTTTCCCCTAGTTTTAAAAGTAATAATGCTATTAACCATCTAATGAATGGTCTACTGAAATTAGAATTTAAGTAGTCATTCGAATTATGTTCTTTGTTTTATAGTGATTGTAGAGCTTTTTCACCTAATATCATGATTTCATACTTTGAGAAGTAGATGAAAGTGGTAAGAGAACCGCAGAGTCAAAAATATTTGTAAGTGGGCGCCTGGGTGGCTCAGTTGGTTAAGCGGCTGCCTTCGGCTCAGGTCATGATCCTGGAGTCCCGGGATCGAGTCCCGCATCAGGCTCCCTGCTCGGCAGGGAGTCTGCTTCTCCCTCTGACCCTCCTCCCTCTCATGCTCTCTGTTTCTCATTCTCTCTGTCTCAAATAAATAAATAAAAATCTTTAAAAAAAAAAATATTTGTAAGTGCATTAAAGTCATCAAAAATTAAACCAGACCAAGAAATACTTTTATTATATACTTATCCTTATAGAAATGAAAATTATACTTGTCTAAAAAGCCATAGTTATAATAACTTTTATTTTAAAATCTTACCAACCTTGAGTTTGGTTCCTTCTGGTCTAGGTTTATTTTCTTCCACAATGTATGTGACGTTTTGTTACTTACCTGTTGGTGAAAACTATAATTGCTAATGTTAAAATCTAGAACTTCGTAAGAGTGGACTCCCATTGGTAAAAAACACTGTTTTCATATACCCAGACCAGAGTTTCCGCAAATGAATTGTTGTGCTATGAAATTATGGAAGCTTTGAACTAAAATTCCTAGAGAGACCTAAGTGGATAATGTTTCATTAATTATACCTAAAATTAGAAAATTAGCTATGTAAAAATACCTAGATAAATACGATAGTTTGTAGGGGAGAGAAGCGGATTTGTACTCGCGTGGGTAGACAGACCATAGTCCACACGAGATGATGTAGGGATAACTGAATTTTGGTAGTGCTTCTAACTTAATGTAATTCTTTGTTAAAAAATAAACTTTTCATGTGTGAAGCCCTGGTTTTCTTGCAACCCATTGAATTATGTTGTTTTTCTTCTGTTCAGTAGGATATTGGTCTCGATTAGGGCAAATTCAATTCAGTTAACTAAATTTTTCAGTTTAATCCCATGAAAAATTTCCCAGAAAGAAAAAATAGTCAAAAGGCTAAAAATTTGCTTATAATTAAACAAACCCTGATTTTCCCATTGGACTTTCTTTTTCCTAGTTTAGTGATAACAGTTCATTTTTTTTTTTTTTTTTACAGCAAACTTAAGAGAATTAATAATGTAGCTCCTGAAAAGATGAGTAAACCCCTCAGAAGATAATTGATATAAATAAAAACATAAGTAAAGGAGATACTTTCATGAACTTATTCTCTGTAGCATTTTCTGTGCTTCCCTTCTTCCTGGGGAACAAGCCCAAGAGTCACACTCTGCTGTCTTGCCTGCCTTCTAACACTGTCAGTGGCTGTTCATGCAGCTTCTTGTAGCATGTTAAATGGTGTTAGTTAGTGAGCTTTGGATCTCTGAAGTCCATAACTGTACAATACCCAGGGGTTGGGGACAGGTACCTACCCACGCGTAGGTAGAGGGATGAAGAGACCTATGGTGTTGGTGTTTCAGACACGTTTGGCATGTTAATTTTTACAGGCCATATGCATTTTAGAACATTGTGCTGTTACTTCTTCTTAAATGGTTCAACAGAAGAACTAATAAACCCCAATTTCTTTTATTAGTCCTGAAGGCAGGGATTACTTAAGGAAGTTTAGCAGTTTGGCCATTCTCCAATATCATAAAGATCTAAATGTTTAATAAAAGGAAGAAATGGGCCAAAGATGAAACAGTATTTGAATTTTGAAATCCAAAATTGGAGAGTGTGCTAATAAAATGCTTCGAAATTTGAGGGTATTGTGTGTGTGTGTGTGTTTTTTTTTAAGATTTTATTTTATTTATATGACAGAGAGAGTGAGCACAAGCAGGGAGAGCGGCAGGCAGAGGCAGAGGGAGAAGCAGGCACCCCGCCGAGCAGGGAGCCTGAAGCAGGACTCGATCCCAGGACCCTGGGATCATGACCTGAGTTGAAGGCAGACGCTTAACCCACTGAACCACCCAGGCGTCCCTGAGGGGTTTTTATGAGGGGTTTTTATTTAAGAAGTGATACGGACATGAAAGCATAGTTTTATAGACTCTTACCAAAAAGTAACTTCTGCAAAGGCATAATGAAAAAGTGTTAGGATAAAATAAAAATTGAAGGGCCAATAAAATTTCTCAGGGAGTAAGGGAAGAACTCGAAAGTGAGATGTCCCTCCCCCTTCAACCAACTAAGAGGCTTAGTACAGACATGCGTATACTTTGCTGTGTTACGGCCTAGATCCCTTCCTGTTTGGCACCTCAGAAAACTGTCCTGATGTGGGACCTTTGGGCGGGTTGGTCTCCGAGAGCCTGCAGTCTTCCTCTCTGTTGCTTTCTGAACTCCTGAGTTCAGAGCATGGTGCCACTCACCCAAGGCTGGGCATGCTTCTTACTGCGACCCCTCCCGGGAAGGGCTGACCTTTTTCTAAGGTGATCCTGGGGGAAAATAGCGTTATGAGTAGATGTTTTTCAATAAGCTTGAATCAGAAAACAAGAAATAGTGTCCAGTTACAAGAAGTTGCAAATAGGCTCCTTTCTGCTATAATAAAGTTTAAGCATTTTAGCTTCAGGTAGTTCATTTTATCTGCGCAGTGACAGGTGGTTGGTAGGTAGAAGGTTCCATGTTGGTCATGCTCAGCTTAGATGCCCTGTTCATATTGACTGAGTCCAAGTAGAAGAAAGAAGTGGACAGGGAGCCCTGCACATGATCATGAATGAGGATATGCATGTCTGAATAAAGGAACGAATAATTTGGAATTTTAAAATACATGGGTAAATATGAAAAAAGAACGGTATTTACCATGTGTGAAGAAGGCTTGGTTAAGAAGTTAAGGAATAGCGTACTCCAAGTGAAATCTTGATGTCTTTTAGTGTTTTCGATAGGTGTCTTATATGTGATGAGTTGGTATTAGGAATATGAAGTTCTTTTCATCAAAAGGAAAGACCTGCTGTGTAAGGAGCTCTGCTTTATGGTTAAAACTGCTTCCTTATTTTAGATCATCTCCTGTACACATCATAGCTACTAGCAAAAGTTTACATTCCTATGCACGCCCTCCACCTGTGTCCTCTTCTAAGAGCGAGCCAGCCTTCCCTCATCATCACTGGAAGGAGGAAACACCAGTCAGACACGAAAGGGTGAGTGTATTTATGAACATAAACTGTTACGAAGTTTGCACAACGGTTGAAATATGTTAACTTTCCTTTTCTCAGAAGTACTTCTGAAGCACGTACAGCTGGGAAATTGTCTCATTCTGCTAGCGATCTGGATTCGATTTTATGTACAGCTCTGGCAACTGTTAGGAATGTTTGTTATCAGTGGGAACATATATTGAACTAAAACTTCCAAAAACTTCAGTTTTCAAAGGTGTATTTTTCCCTAAGTTACAGTGTTTAAGTTACCCACTCAGGAGGAGGGAGAGAGCCAGAAGCCTTGAGATAAAGACAGATATTAACAGAATATGTTACAAAATAAAGTTTCTGATGTTTTTCTCCATAGGCAAATAGTGAGTCAGAATCTGGCATTTTCTGCATGTCCTCCCTCTCCGATGATGATGATTTGGGCTGGTGCAATTCCTGGCCTTCAACTGCTTGGCACTGTTTTCTGAAAGGTGAAAGAATGCTTGAATTTTTACAGCTGACTTATGTAGCATGCTAGGCACATACCTAATTTTTTTTTTTTTTTTTTTTTACTTAAACTTTAGGCACACGACTGTGCTTTCATAAGGAAAGCAAAAAGGAATGGCAGGATGTTGAAGATTTTGCTAGAACCGAAAGCTGTGATAATGAGGAAGACCTCCAAGTGGGCACTCACAAGGTTGATTTAAAATTCGTAAAACTTTTCCAAATCTTTCAGAAGGAAACCTAGGCTTATTATTAATCTATATGAGTGTTCTCCATTTACTTTCATACTTAAGTGACATCTTATATTTTAGGTAGAGGTTTTGTGACTCTGTTACAGCTTAGCCACATGGACAGCGGCAGTGACTTCAGGTTTACCTTTGTAATTATGCTTTCTTAGATGGGCAAAAGATGTATTTCGTAGCTCTTTTTGTACGTTTATGTTGGGGAAACTAAACTGGCATTTCAAATAAAATGAACAAATGAACCAAAGCTTTTTCTTACGTAATCTACAAAGTGGTTAATTCCCAAATGGATAATTGAGAGTTGATTATATGAAGTTACTTTTTAAATGACCTGATAAAACACTGGCATTTGTTTAAGTTAATAAGCAAAGGCAGTAGGTGGCAGCGGCAGGATAAAGGTCAGTTGGTATCTGTACAATCTTAATCTTTAAAATCTTGAATTTCTCCATCTCCACTGTAGGCAGAGAAGTTGGGCATGTGAAGTGTGCTTGTTTAAAATTCCTGTTTTGATCCTGATCCTGCTGTTACTTACTGTTGAGTCTAGAGAGAAATAGTCCTGCCTCAACTGCCTTCAGTTTCCCCCTCTTGCTGTTACTCTTCATTTATGGTGAAGTTCGCCTTGTCTGACTTGGGCCTCTGCTGTTCTACTCAGATTGTCTCAAAGGTTACTAGCTTCATTCTGATTTCTAGTGAGACTTCTTGCTTTGTTTGTCATCTTTGCAACATTTGACACAGGGAGTTGTCTTCTCTTGATTTGTGCAGCATGGCGGGGCTCCGGTTCTCTACTGTCTCCGTCTCTGTGGCTGGCGGCTTGTCTGCCCATGGCGTGGAGTGGGAGAGAAGGTTCTGCCCATGGGCACTGTCTTCACCGTTTCCTGTCTGCCGATACGGTCAGCCGCAGCCCCTTGGTGGGCCTGTGGAAGGCACCCCGGTCTTGGAGGCAGGAGATCTGGGCTCTGTTTCTGGTTCTTCAGCAACTCTTTGTGTGACTGATGTTGGGCAGATTGTCGACCCCACCCTGTGTTGGCTTCCTGATCTGTAAAATGGGATTGGATTTGTTTGGAGGTCTCGTAGCTCTAAGAATGAGAAGATTCTGTGATTTCGTTTACAAATATATGGCTGTAGCCTTCCCCTGCATGTTGGACATCTGCACGTGGATATCGACCAGTTCTTTATGCTCAGCTTGTTCGTATAACCGAGACTGGACTCACCTTTTCCTTCCCCTCCCTGGCCTGCTTAAAGATATTGTTAACCTTCTTTTGGCAGATTAAAACCAAGAAGTTGACTGTTTCCCTCCTCCCTTCATAGTGGATCAGTCTAATTCTCTAAAGATGCTTTGCAGTCACCCTTCTGGCTCCGTCACTGGAGCAACGGTTGCGTGCTAAAGCTAGCTGGTGGCCTGTCAGTCTCCTTGGTTTTTCTGTGAATTTAAGGGTAGGGATCCCATGTAGTTAACGTGTTTTCAGAACCTAGCATCTGGCATGTGCTGACTGCTCAATAAATATTGGTTGAATTTACATTTAGCCCGGTTCTACCACCGCGGCACTTGTCAGTTTAAGACTAATGGGTTTCTTTCCTCGTGTCTTCAAAGAAATTGAATACGAGAGTCACCTTTTATCCTGCAGACTTTATCATCTTCTTAAAATTGACAGTTGTTAGTAAAATACTTTCATTGACTTGCAGTTACCCATTCAAAGAAAGGTTTGAGCACTTCCCCGTCATCCTCGACTTACTAACTAGCCCCTCCTTTTCAGGCTTCTTTGCCTAACCTCTGAACTCCCCTGTATTTTTAGCAAATACTCGCCACTCTCCAGAGAAGTCGCTGGTTTCAGCTCTTGCTGGCATTGAGGCTCGCTCTTCTAACTTCTGGGTTTAGAAGTGGGAACTGAAAGCCCTTCCTAGTCTCTCTCAGAGTTTATACCTCCCTTCATTAAAGTCCATTAGCATCCTTTACACTTCAGTTAAAGTGCTCATTCCAGTCTGCTTTACATTGTAGTGGTTTATAGATGTGCCTTTCTTTACCGACAGGGATCCTGTCTTGTTTATTGTTACCTTTTCCACAAAGTCTTACATGTAATAGGAACTTCACTATGTGTTGAATTAAACATTGCCTGTTTGTTCACTCTATGCATGTATTTTCAGGGCTATGGTTCTGATGGTCTAAAGTTGTTATCACATGAAGAAAGTGTATCATTTGGCGAGTCTGTACTGAAGTTGACTTTTGATCCCGGTACAGAGGAAGACGGCTTACTTACTGTAGAGTGTAAGCTGGACCACCCTTTCTATGTTAAGAATAAAGGTAGGGCTTCAATTTGATTTTATAGTAACTTTTTAAAGAAGACTTCTTAAATCTGTTACTATGTCTTGTGGCATAATTCTTTGATGATTAAGGAAAAAAAAAACCTTGAAGGGCAAACTTCTTTCAAACTACAGAGAACTACCATAGGAAGTGCCTTATCACAATACCTACTGATGTGTACGCGTTTTAGCAGGAGTCACCTCCTGTGGGTAGGAACTCTTAGACTCCTGTAACACACTATATAAGCAGCTCTCTGTTATCTTTGTATAGTTTGGGGAATGGAGTATTCTGGTAATTGCATTTTGGTTTAGGGTTACCAAATATGCTATATATCTGAATCACTTTTCCGAGATCTATTACAACACCGTGTGAAAAATGGTAATTCAGAAGCTATTTCATGGTCTCAGTCATCATCATCTATCATTTACTATCTTGTAAATTGTGGAAGTGCCGATTGATAGAATCTGTGTATTAATAAAATGCTGAATTAAACTAGTTTTGGAGAGCTTTTGCATTGCTTGAAGAAAATACTTGGACTTGCTTTGTAGCAGAGATACAGGACATGTTAAAAGTCTGCTGGGACTTAACTAATAACTTTTTAAGGCTCAGAACTGATAGGTATATCATAGAATAAATAATTAGGGCCCCTTCTATCCATCCCCATCCTTTATGTAACTGCTCTTTGATTTAATTTTAGGTTGGTCATCATTTTATCCAAGCTTGACTGTGGTACAGCATGGCATCCCATGTTGTGAAATTCATATTGGTGATGTATGTCTACCTCCTGGACACCCCGATGCCATTAATTTTGATGATTCAGGTGTTTTTGATACATTTAAAAGGTAATATTGGGTTAATTCTTTTTTTCTGTTAATGTTTACCTTTAATCTCTTTAATGATTGCTAAGTCAGATATTTAGGAGGTTAAACCTAAAAGATTTGAGAATTATAAAAGGACTACTTAGAGTAAGTATGTACATGATGAAATGAAAAAATACTAGGTAATTAAAGTAAAATAATAGTTCAAGGGGAGCTTTTCATAAAGTAGTCGTATAGGAAAACCAGGAGTTCATAAAACATTTGGTATTAGATTAGGAAAAATACCACATGTTACGTGACCAAGAACTACAGAGCCGAGCTTTGATAGTTTTTATATATATATATATATATATATATAAAATTGCCATATCCAGCCGGCTGTTTTCACCAGGCCACAAGTCTCCTAATGGTGTTCTTTTTTGTAGTTAACTGTTACCCTTTCTTTTCTCTCCTTAACTGTTCTTTAATATTCATTTCAACCAAGGGCATTAGTTGCATGAATTAACAAACAGTAAAAATGGCAAAAAACTGACATTTGGAAAATCTTAAAGAGGGAAGTGATTTTTCTTGAGAACAGAATAAGTACCCATGTGTCCTGACACTCAAGAAGGCTGATCTGATCAACTGTCTCAGTTTGGGTGCAGCTTTACTGGTTTTAGCACTGAAAGGCCCAGAGCCCTGGAAGCCTCACGGGCTTGGGCACACTGGGATCGGGGTGGTTGGTTACCTAAGCCCAGGAATTATCCAGAGAAAGTGTGTGTGTAGGTATCTGGGATTTTAAGACTCTTTTTTTTCTCTAAGATAATTATTAAATTCAGAATTCCCGCTGGCCTACAGGTTTTATTTCATTCGTTTTAACATAATAAAACATAATGTTAATAATATATTTTTATTGCAAAAGGATATGTGAGGCTATTGTTTTAAAAAAGCAACTAGCACAGGCCCTGGCACAGGTTATATGCTCAGTAAACATCTGCAGATTGGAATCTAAATGCTGTTTGATTACATCCCTCATAGATACTGTTCTAAAAATTAGAGAGAAATGAGACAGTTTGAAAATCTGATACTCTAAACATTCTTAGGGTGTAGGTCAGTGATACCTCTCACATTTTGGTGAGAATATTCTAGAGATAGAAAAACTTTGGAAGGTAATTTGGTTTTATTTTATAACACTGACTGTAGTAGTTGTACCTGGAGAAGTATGTGTACCCTAGAGAAGTAAATTCTCATAGACACGCACTGGGAGAGGTAGGTAATAAGGTCATAGCTGTGTTGCTCAGGATAGCAAAAACATGGAAACAATGCAATATTCATCAACTGCAGAGGGAATACATAACTTGTGATATAATCATATGGTGGAATTTTTTATAAGTGGAAGATGAATGAGCCATAGCCATACATTGTAAAACATGGATCAGTTTTAGAAATAATGTTAAGTAAAATTAGTCTCAGAAATCTACAGTATCATTCCATTTTTTATGGAATCAGATGTTCTTTGGAAATATATCTAACAAAATTATAAACCTAATTACATTTATGTAATTTTTATGTAGTATATATAATACACATTATACAGTTACGCTAGGGATTCAGTGATGTAGTAGGATGACTCCCAGGATTTAGTTTGTAGTCACATTCATGCCTAAGATTTCTTATAGCAAAGGGATACAAAGCAAAATCACAAAAAGGCAAGGCACGTGGGGTGAAGTCTGGAGGAAGCCAGGCTTCCAGGACTCGTCTCCCAGTGGAGTCACACAGCGCACGCTTCTCTCTCTCGGCAGTGAGTGCTGACAACAGGTATTACTGGGCGTCAGCCAGGGAAGCTGTTGGACGGACCCTCAGCACCAGGGTCTTACTGGGAGCCGGTAGCCTAGGCTGCCTCTGCCTTGCACGTACCCAAATCCCAAACTTCCAAAAGGAAGCAGGTGTTCAGGGTAAACCATGTCGTTTGTACACATAGTTTAGGCACACTGAGCCACTCTTACCAGTTGTGGAATGATGAGAACTCTCCTTGAAATCCTAATTCCAGATGCTAGTCGTGGGCCAACCTTGTACAGATGCCCTCAAAAGGAGAGCAGTCTGGCCTGCTGTGTTACCTCTTTGTTGTGTAACAGGACTTTCACATATTACATGTTGATACAATTGATGTAAACATAATTAATGCTGCTATAGTGTTTATCTGTTGTTTATGAATTTATTATTTTTATAATAACATTGAAAAAGTAGGGATGATAAACCATTCAGGAGAGTGGCTTTCGCTGGGGGGTGGCAAATGTGGAACTTTATTGATAGAAATATTCTATTTCTTAATTAGGTTGTGGGTGTACTCATTTATTTGTATACTCTATAACATAAAAGCTATATACATTTTTTATCAAGTCTTGCATAGTGTAAAACTTTCTTTTAAGCAAAAAGGAATACTAGGCTACCTATTTCCTGCTTTGCCAAGATGGTAGCTTCCCATCACTTGGTCCCACTGAATAGCAGTCACTCCTGAGATGACCTTAGACATTGGGCTCATTTTCCTGTGGAGTGACGGCAACACCCTCCTTTCTGCTCCTCATAAAGGATTGGGAGATGGGCAGTTTCATCCAGGAGAAACCATGACAGAGTTGAGAAGCATGCAGTTGCCTACATTTCGCCGTGGGTTAGATTATGACTGGGTGGGTTAAGGGGAGTGCTGCGTGGCATAAGGAGGGCGAGGAGGGAAAGAACGACAGGAAGAAGAAACCCTTGTCTGAGAGGGAACCCCAGAGTACATTGCAGCGACTGTTTGGGGATTTGGGGCCAGCTCTTGGGTCATGCTGTACAGAGGACATCTGAGTAGATTATAGCTTGGTAAGGACCAGAAGTCGGCCATAGATGAGCCCTTAAACACAGTTTCCAGTTCATTTGTGGAAAGGAAGCTTCTAAGTGAGAGCATGATTTGGAGAAGCCCATTGGAGACACAGAATTGAGGCCAGTCTTCTAGGTGTCAGGCAGTTTTCAAGACACACTTCTGACTCTGCAAAGTTGGCATTTCTGTTCGAGTGATCGAATTTAACACACTTCGCGGGTGCCCATCGTGTCCCTGGTGCTGTGCACATGTCACCTGAGGTACTCTTCCCTACCCGATGAGATTCCATCCTCCCTTTACCGGAGGGGGGTGTGGGGGGCGGTTCAGGAACCAAAAGAGCCCTTAGTATCAGAACCAGGTTTCAAGTCTGTATCATCTGAGGGTTCACCAGTCTAGGCTACTTCGGCAGTAACAGCACTGCTGCGCGCCCGTCTCGGCCCTAGGTCTTGTGGGCGCCGCCCTGTCAGCTCCGCAAAGCCGCACGGTCTGTGTTACATGCGTCTTGGAGAGACGTTAACTGAGGTCCATGGTTTACTGAACCTGCTGGAAGAGGTGGGGTTTGAACCTAGTTAAAATGTTATATTATCACGTTCTCCAGCATTTTTTTTTTTACCTTTTCAGTCGGTCATCAAATACTTGAGAGCCCGGGGTGTGTGCCGGGCGTGGGCATTTAAACCGTGCTAAGCCCTGGGCCTGCCTCGGCTTCGCGTCCGGAGGAGGGCGGGGCCCAGTGAACGTGTGCGGCGGTGTGAGCGCGTGAGAGGCCGCGGGGCCTGCTGGGAACGGGCGCTCTGGAGCCCGGCCTCCGCGCCCCAACCCCGCGCCCGGCCCCCCGCTTTGCGGCGGGCGTCGGTGAACTTTTGGGTGGCTCTTTAAAAAAAATGTGTAAAATGAGCATCGTGTTGAAGGGAGGATTCAAGTGAGTGTCTGGTTAACAGACATACATGCTTCACAGACTAAGCCTGTTGGCGGGTTTTTCTTTCGAGGGGGGACTAGCGAGGGTGGGAAGGGTGACCTGAGCGAGCCGCGGCGGGGAGCCGGGGCGCAGGCGTGGAGGCGGGCGCGGCGCAGGGCCTCGCGGCGGGGAAAGGCTCGCACGCCGAGCGTAGCGAAACGTGAAGCTGTTAGACGTTCTTTGCAACTTTTTAATGCTGTCGTCCGCTCAGAATCCAGATTTCGGTGATTAAATGTTTCTAAGTAAGTTGTATCCATAATGGAAACGGAGGGTAGGCTCCATTCGTACCACTAGATGGTAGAGTTTTCAAATTGCAGTAGTTCATGAGCTTGCCTCAATTTTCTTAAATCTTTTTGGTATTTCAGATTGTAATCAAATACTTCCTTCGGGGGAGATTAATAATTTTGTGTCAGGTTCATTTATAATGCTTAATTTTGCCGTTTTTCTAAATTATATATGGGAGGCGCTTGAGGACAGCCAAAATTGTTTCTTGGACGTGATCCTGACTGCTAAGCATTGATTAGATGGTTTTGGAGTCATATTTACATTGAGTTCATGTAATACCTCTAAAAACCACACGTTGTGTGGTTGATAATCGGTAGAAGTCTTTTTTATTGTGTGCAGTGAATGGTCCGGGCCTCCTGCACTTCGCTGTCTCCATCCCCGTCTCTGGGATAATTCGTAATCCCCTGTTGCTTTACCTTTAGGCGGATACTTACTGTATCTGATTCTGTAGCCAATATCGACTTGTTGTGATAGATTGCCAGAATTTCTGTTTCAGGGAGAGAGTAGGGGCTAGATTTAGAATACAAGGTTTTCTGTTAAGATAAAAGGTATAAGCAGTAGGTGTAAACACATTTGGAACCAAAGAAATCTTTTGACAGGTGTAATCTTTAGGCTGTCATCTATATTAGCTCCACTTTTGAGGTGATATTTTCAATGAGTCTGATTATTGTTTGTTCACCTTGATGTCAGCCAGTGGCAAGGCAGAGCACTGTGGTTTTGGTGAGGAAACCTAGGGGTTTGGAGGTGGACAGATCTGGGGCTGGATCTAGTAGTAGCTGTGGGGCCTTGAGTGAATAGTACTTGTTCCTTTTTTGGCCTGTTTCTTTATATAAAGAGAGGATAATGATACTCACTAAGCAAGCTTGTTGGGAAAATGAGAATATGCATAACTTGTTTCCATGCTCATGTAAACTGAATATACTTACCAAAATATGGCCTTGCCCGATCAGTGTGAGTTCTTACTTTTAAGTTATGAAGCTGTGTTCTACTAGATGGATGGCCTTTAGGGGTGATGGATGTATACATGACTATTTTGACCTAAACAGACAAAAAATTTTAAGTTCCTTTAGCTGTATTCAACCACTTTTGACTGTCCCTCCCCAACACTTGGTCTTGTGTAGCACTTAGGCCTGGTATATGCCCTGCTGCTCCATTTTAACTTTCTAGCTGTTTTTAGGCTTCTGTTGGCCAAGAAATCAGATTATCAAATTCGTCAAAAAGTGAATCTAAAGTAGTAATTAAGTGGGTTGCATGGGATCTGGAGGAGGTACTTGCTATGAATAAAGTACGTGGATTATAACATTCTTGTGGGGGGCTTGAAGTTTTCTTCTTTTGTATTCTCTGCAGATTTTTAAAAAAACAGTTTTAGTGCATATACAAGCTGTCAGCTTATAAGCAACTATTGATGGTGAAGTTATTAAAGTAGGGTTGGTTAACATTATATACATTGAAGTTTCTGATCAGGTGTTAAGGTTTTTGTTTTTGTTTTTTTTAAATCCTGTTTTTACAAATCAAACTGAATTAAAACCATGTTAATAAATTTTTTTTTAGCTATGACTTCACACCTATGGATTCTTCTGCAGTCTATGTGTTAAGTAGTATGGCTCGTCAGCGTCGTGCATCTTTGTCTTGTGGAGGGCCTGGAGGTCAAGACTTTGCAAGATCTGGACTCAGTAAAAACTGTGGCTCACCAGGATCATCACAGCTCTCTTCCAATTCCTTGTATGCTAAAGCTGTCAAAACCCACAGCTCAGGGACTGTGAGCGCCACTTCTCCTAACAAGTGCAAAAGACCAATGAATGCCTTCATGCTTTTTGCCAAAAAATATAGAGTTGAATATACTCAGATGTATCCAGGGAAAGATAACAGGTAAAAAGAGTATTTCTGATTGTAATAATTAACACTCCAGTGCAGTTTCACAGGAACTGGGATAGTTAAGTAAACTTATCCCCCAATAGCTTTTATCATCATTATTATTACTATTTATAAAGATTTTATTGACTTATTTGAGAGAGTGAGAGAGAGAGAGCATGAGAAGAGGGGCAGAGGGAGAAGGAGAAGCAGGCTCCCTGCTGAGCAAGGAGCCTGATGCGGGGCTCGATCCCAGGACCCCAGGATCATGAGTTGAACTGAAGGCAGACTCTTAACCTACTGAACCACCCAGGCACCCCCCAATAGCTTTTATTATTGAATTCGTTTTCTTAGGTTGACTTTAAAGAGTTTAAGTGGCATTTTTAGGGTCATGGGTAAATATTTTTATAACACCTGGAGAGACTTTAGGTTACCTAAAGATATGCCTTCTAAAATAATATTAAATGTTGTTTGCCTGTTGGAAGTCACAATTCTAACAACTGACTATTCCGTAGAAAAGTTTTTTGTGTCAGATCCCAAGGATGTCCTCACAACTGTGTCATGCTACAGAATGTGCAGGCAGTGGCCTTTTGACAAATGTGGAAATCACTATAAACTGCAAAAGACTAAACATAAAGGTGTCCTCAGAACCCAGGGATAAAACTGACTCTAGTCCTTTCTACTCTGTTTACTTACACTCTTAGCTCATCTGTTAGCATCCTCTACTCACTTCCTCTCAAACCAGCCTAATTCTCCATGTATTAAAATTACTTCTTCCAGTTTTCCCAGTTTCCTGACAATCAGTACTCTCTTCCTTGATATCATGAGAAAAGTCAAATGATTATCCACATAAAATAATTGAGTTTTGAACTCGAGTTTGAATGTCTCATGAGCTTAATTGTTTATATAGAGGGAGAAGGAGTGGACATAGTTTCAGGTCAGCATAATGCTTTGATAGCTGTAAGCACCATGAAACCATCGCCACAGGAAGTCTGGTTCTCATCCATCACCACACAGTTACAAATTTTTCTTGAAACGAGAACTTTTAAGAGCTACTCTTCACAATTTTCAGACACACAGCACAGCAGTACTAACTGTGGTCACTGTGCAGCACCTTACGGCCCCATGACTTACTTATTTTATAACTGGACGTTTGTACCTTTTGACCCCCTTCACCCATTTCATCCACCCCCCACCCCTAGCCTCTGGCAGCTACCACTCTCTTCTCATGAGCTAAATTTTTAAGTATTTACATTTTAAAAAGCGAAACTTCTCAAACCAAATGCACCTCTGATTTGGGAATTGATACCTAAATGTTTCTTACCGATTTAACTGGTCAGTGTGTCAACCATGGTACCTTTAACCCAGAGATTATAAAAACTGGGTTTTATTTTTATAAAGGAAGATGCAGTACAATGTTTAATTGCATCAACTTACTGGAAAAAATATATATATATACACACTTGCCCGTATTTACTACATACCGAATTCCTTGTTAAGTAGTAGAGCTGTGCTTCCTGTTCTAGCCCAGCTCTAGCTTCCACGTCAGGCACTGAGCTCACTCGTATCTACTTCGTGCAGCGTATGTGACCTTTGTGTCACAAAGTTAATGGTTAAAAGCTCTCCACAGAAGGAAAATGGTTTCTGTCTGCATGTTCTGGATGAGACTTACACTGGTTTTGGGAGATTAACAAATATAAATAGGAAATAGCTTCAGATTTCTATCATGATGTGTTTTATCCAGTCGGACTTCTTTCCCTTTGAGTTTATCCAATTTCTTCAAGTACAGAGATCACATGATCTAGGATTTATCTGGCCTTGTCTTAGGAGGGAAACGGTACGGTGCGCATAGTTCATGCCACCACATTTTCACTATGGTTACGTGAATGAATGAAACTTTGATCATAACTGTTTGATGGGTTATGAGCACAAAGAGAAAGCAAGAATAGCTTTTAGTACATTATGCTGCTGATACCGAACACTGCCTTGAGCTTAAGCATCTTTGAGAAACCGATGTACCAGCATAGAGCCAGTGGTAATTTAAACCATGTCTCTGAAGTACTTCACCTTTTTCTTTAAGCTCTGTAGGACACTGAGTTTTTAGCCATTTTAGATGTCCTCTGACAACTGGAAATATTGGCACCATTCCAGGAGGCTTTAACTGCCAAGATGATGATGAATGGGCCCATGGGACTTGAGATTTTACTGGAAATGACTACGATAGCCTTGACCTTTTCCCTTCTCTCTGTTGGACAAGATTCTTGTCTTTTTTCTTTTAACTTTCTATTTCTTCCTGAGGTAGCAGCACTGGACATGCATCTTACGAGAAATTCTGGCCTTCAGCATTGTGTGCATGTTTATTTTACAGAGCCATAAGCGTGATCCTCGGCGACAGGTGGAAGAAAATGAAGAATGAAGAGAGAAGGATGTATACGTTAGAAGCAAAGGCTTTGGCTGAAGAACAAAAACGCCTAAATCCTGACTGTTGGAAAAGGAAAAGAACCAATTCAGTAGGTTTCAACAACTAGTTGCTCAAAAAGATCTTGACTTCTCCCCATAACTGAACTGGCGTGTGGAACAATGCTTATATAACCTTGAAAAGGTGGTATAGAGGCTCTTTTTCAGCCTTTTTATACTTTCAGCCTTTTTATATTTCACAACCTAATAATGTTTTTACACCACCCTATGAGACAGGCTGCCTTATTTATTTATTTAAATTATGAAGTGCCATTTACTTTTTTAGTGTGGAAAATAGAAGTGTCTGGCATGCTTAAGAAGAATGTTTATCCAGAAATATTGAGGTGGAAAAATAATTTTGGAATGGTAGTATTTTTAGTTGGGTTGAAAAATGGGTGTAACCAACTCAATAGCACGGTACAAAATCTTTCTGATCTTGGGGTGACATGTCCCAACAGCCCTTCTATTTTTTTTTTTTTTAAAGATTTTATTTATTTATTTGAGAGAGAGAGAATGAGAGACAGAGAGCATGAGAGGGAGGAGGGTCAGAGGGAGAAGCAGACTCCCTGCCGAGCAGGGAGCCCAATGCGGGACTCGATCCTGGGACTCCGGGATCATGACCTGGGCCGAAGGCAGTCGCTTAACCAACTGAGCCACCCAGGCGCCCCAACAGCCTTTCTTTTCATAAATGGGCAGGGGCTGAGGAGGATGGGGCACATTAACCTTCATGGGGCCTTCTGACATTCGCACAGAACTTCTAGATTAAAAACCTCGGGAAGAAGAAGAAATAGGCCCAGGAATACTCTTGTAAATGAATTCACAGCATAAAAACACAACCTTGGATGGAATGGATTCTTAGAACGTTTCCATTACTAGGTTAGCAACTTTTAAGTCGAGTTTTTTGATTAATTCTGAAGAAAACTTCACATGATAGAATGGAGTGAGCTCAGTTTGAAGTACCGTTTAAAAATGAAGGGAAGACATCAGTCCTTTGGAGCAGGAGGGCTGGCCAAGGATGCCTTATATTTATTCTGTAGATTTATGCGTATGTCTTTTTAGAGTAACATGCAGTTCACAATCGCTTACATTTATCAGGAATTTCTTGTAAAGAAGTAGATGGTAGCCAGACTCCAGTAGAAGAGGGTGGCTCAACTGGTTTTGAGTGTGGTAGGACTTGGCCTAGATCCCCTTTCTTTGCTGCTCTCCTAACCCATCTCGTCACTGTTCTCATACATTTTCTGGATGCTTGAGCTGTTGGGTGTTAGCATTCTTTTAAAAATCACCCCATTTGAGAAAGTGATCTTTTTTAAATAGTAAGTTTATAAACATTCTGTTCATCTTAGCTTTCATTTGTAGAATTACTGTGTATTGACTTGTAAACATTCGCTGTTTTAATTTTCTCTCCACAGGGCTCACAGCAACATTAAGCCAGGATGCGTATGTTCTTAAGTCTGTAGTTGCATAAACACTGTTGACGGAGGGACTTAAGAAGATCGAGGTGTCACCATTTGTCCTGAATTCGTGTGACCATAAGATACTGATAGCATTGAGTCTTGAAATGATTTAATAATATGAGTGAGGATTTGCTTTTTCCATTAGAGCATTAAGTAAGCTAAAACTATCAACATTGTAAACCAAATTGCCTTATTTTTCTTCCAAACTTCATATATGTCTATCAGGTAATATAGGCTTGAAAATTGATATCCTGTGGTGCTAAAGTACAGTAGAAAGAGAGGAGAGTGTATACATGTTTTATTTTAAATTGTACAAAAGGGGAATTTAAAAATATGTAACTGCTGTTTATACATTGGCTCCTTACTGCTTATTAATCTGTATTGTACACATAGTGGAATGAAACCGAGCCGGGAGCTGGCCTTTCCGTGAGCGACCACCGCACTGGCCCAGCATCTGTGCCAAACCCGGGAGCTCCTGAACACGTGGCCGGTGTCGGCGTCCCAGTGTGCGCGTGCCGCCTGCCACAGGGTCCCCCGGGCACGCCGAGCCTGGCACCGGGCGGTAGCACCCATGCAGGACTTGCGGCGGAGGCCTCGCCCGGGCCCAGGTCAAGTTAGTTAATAGCATTGGGATATAGTCACTGTCATGGTGCTATTAACAGTTGACACCATTGTATTTTTTAACTTCGTGTTCTGTATCTCCTCAGCCACATATCTTAAATATCTTGTTTGTCATCCTATGTGTATGGTGGGGGCAGACTTTGCACTTCCTGCAGTGCAACACGTGCACTTTACTTCTCCAGCTGTCTGAGGTGAGAGCACACACGTTGGCAAGACAGCTGCTTCTGCTCTGAGCTACAATCATGGCTTTTCATGTTACTTACCAAGTGGTGTTTCTGGTAGGAATCACAGCTGTAAAATTGATTTCAGTTCATTACACTTCTTCATGATGTTGCCCCTAAATTTTGCACACTATATTCTTGTATATTATTTCAAATAAAATGAAAAAAAAAATTGTTTATCTCTGACTTCTGTGGATTGAACTTGACTGAACTTCATGTCTGAGTCTGAACAACAGGTGCGGGGCATGGAAAATACATTAAGAAGTTGCTGATGGGGTTTTTAAACAAACAAATTAGAAACAAAATGTTTTGTTAGTGACAGCTCACGGGCAATGGAAAAACACGGGTCTAGATTATCTATGTGAAAGATCTTTCTTTGTAGACTAAAAATTGTTTTTAACTTGACATCTCCACTACAAAGTTGAACAGCCCCCAAAGTCTGCTTTTAATAGAATGACACACAGAGGATAAAGACAGCCTTGCTCTGTCTTTATTACAGATACAGTAAGACATACTTAAACAACATATGACCCTATGTCTTAGCTTTGGGAGATACCGGTGGTTCCCAGACTTTGCTGCATACTGGAAACACCCGGGGATATTTTCAAAAACGGATGCCTGGCCCTACCCCCAGATGTGTCAACACGGGGTGTGCACTGGGCATCAGGATTTTCAAAAGCTTTCCACCAGTGACCCTAATGTGCAGTCAAATTTGGAAACCACTGGGCTGCACACTTACCTAGTGAGGGCAAAGGTTAATTGGGAGCAACAGGGTATTTATAACTTGGTCAGAGCCCTTAAAAAGCAACGGGAACTTAGGGTGTGTGTGTACACAGAGGGGGACTCTTATGGGAAAGAAATTTTAGCTAGTCTCCTAAAAAAAAGAAATCCTGAAAGAAAAAAGAGTTGGGTATCTTTCTGGAAAAATCAGGTCCACGGAGTTTGAAGGTAGTGATGAATCTATTTTGACATTTTTACTTAAGGGAGAGGGGCTCGAGAGGTAAGGAGAAGATCAACGGGAAGTACAGAGAGGTTGATTACATTCTTAAAGTGGTGGATGGTAGCTGGTTTTTAGAGTGTTTCTTAGGTTAACTGCCAACCGTGGGTTCGCGCAAAAGGGAGATTGAGAACTACTTCACGTTGTTACTGAAGAGTAGACAGGGCTTTCTGAAGCAGTTGAACCATTATGGGATAAACTGGTGCAAATTCTTTGCCTTCTCTACTTCTCACTGATTGAACATAAGCTTCCAGAGCTCCCCTGAAAACAAGAATGAAAACAATGTCAAAAAATTAATAAAGGAAATCAAACCACTTAGAGGGTACCAATATGTAAAGGCAGCCCATTTCTGGCGTTGCTGTGGCCAGTTCCACAAGCTGAGTGACACAGTGACAGCCTTCAAACAGCCAGGGGTGGCGCTGCCATGGTTACTGTGGAAACCCCCACACACTGTTCAGCCTGCACTGTACTCGGCGGTCTGATGGTGCAGTCAGGCACCGTGGCGCTTGCCTTCCCCTCCGCGATCAAGGCTTCTGACTGGGCGCAGGCAGCCTGTGCTTTCTCACAGAGCTCACAAGGGGGAGCCCGGCACCGCGGGAAGGCCCGCCCGGGGGCGCACGCACTGTCCCCCTGGGCGGCGCTCAACACCCTTGGGTTTGAGGAGAGTGTGAACCCACAGGGAGACGGCACTGCTGCTGGGCTCTGGGTTTTAGCAAAGCCTGTGATAAGGAGGTGGTCTGAATTTAGCCACGAGGATGTGCCACCAGCCCGTGAAAACGGAGGACTGTGATGTTCTCCTGAATCCACAAACGAGCCCCACAGGCCAAACGGAGCGCTGGGCTCATCTGCTGTGTGCGGCCGCTTCCCGGCGACAGGGGCCCACACGGCCCACGGAGGCCATACGGCCTGCAGAGCCTAAAATACTCACTATCCGGACCTTTATGGAAAAAGTTTTCCAAGTGTTCTATCATGTTTAATTGCAGCTAAAAAGAATGGTTAAAAGATTTTCAATATTGGTCTACTGATGCCCCAAGTATGACAAAATTTTCATCATAGTCCTACTGGTTTTTTTAAGTTTCACACTGAGATTAGATGAGAGCACTTCCAGGAAGACGCAAGTTAAGAATACCATTACTCAGCTCACATACTCAGTCTCAAGTCTAGTATGTAATTCTTAACCGTTTTTTTTTTTGCTCCCAAACGCTGCGCATACTGACCCCCCCTGGTCAGATGTGCTGATTATCGCTGGCTCTGGGGCGCTCGCCCCCCTGCCAGCCAGTTCACGGCCCCGCTGGGACGCATAACTGAGGCCCAGTCCCTCCTGTCCGCCCTGATCTCCCTCCTGACTTGTTTCCACCTGTGCCCTGGGCAGCATTATCTGACTTCGCCCAGGTGCCCCTCCAACTCGCCTGTCAGAAACAGGGCACTCCAAAACCCCGAGAACGAATGACACCGAGAGAGAACCCTCACGGAGACCAGGGGCTCTGGGGCACGATGATGTGCAAGGTGGGCTCATCAACTGTACCCACAGACCGCCCGTGGGGGACGCTGCAGGTGGATGGGAACTCTCTGTACCTTCTCAAATCTGCTGTGAGCCCAAACCTGCTCTAAAATATAAAGTCCATCTGGGCGCCTGGGGGGCTCAGTCAACCGGTTAAGCGCCTGACTCTCGATATCCGCTCAGCTCATGATTTGGTTGTGGCATCAGGCTCCGTGCACAGTGGGGAGTCTGCTCCTCTCCTCTCTCTCTGCCCCTCCCCCAACTCACGCTCTCTCTCAAAGAAGAAGTCTTTAAAAAAAATAAAATTTAAAAAATTTAAAAAAGTCCATCAAAAAAGAAACGAAACGTAGGGGGAAAAGCCCTTCCGGGTAGTGTTCTGCCCACCATCCCCTATTTCAACAAAGGGCCCCCGCCCCTCCCCAAAGTCTCTCCCTAAAGTCCTCTTTGACTCTTGCTCACAGATTTCCAGCCCCAGTCCGCCCTCTCCCGTTGGCTTCCGTCCGACTCCTGCCGTGCGGGGCGCCCATCGCCGCCGCCGCCTCTGCTGCCCGCGCCGGCCACGCGCTATCCCATGAGGCCGGGGCTACACTCGCAACCCACAGAGCACCAGCTTCATCGTGACCTCCCGCAACCCTGCCCGTGCTGCTGCCGGCTTCCGGATAGTGTGCTGGGGCCCAAAAGCCCTTCAAATCATTAGCTGCCATTGTTCGTGTTACCCACACACGTGCAGAGCAGCTTCCCCCCACTTGACCCTGAGCCTGACCCCGAGGCCCACGGTGAGCCTCGCTCAGAAATGAAGCTGTATCTGCCCAACAAGGAAGGGCTGTGAAAGGCCCGTTTCCCTCCCACCACACAGCCTCTCCCCTCCTTCCTGAAGCCCATCCTCCTAGGTCTCTCTCCGTTCTCTTATTTGGGGGGGGGCTCTTCCGGGCCGTCTTCCCCACAGAGTGCTTTACTAGGGGCCGGCTCTAATGCTTTCTTTTTGACGGAGCCTCTTCGAACTCCAGGCAGCACAAAAGAAACCACCTCGGAGTCCCGAGAAATGGTGGAAAAGGTCTAAGCCTTCCGTGTCTGGAGCCGTGGCTTGGTGGGACCCCACACTGTGGGATTCCCGACGGCAGTCCCCGGGCTCTATTCAAGGCAGGGCGACTGTCGGTGCGCCGTGTGGGACGCAGGCTCTGCCCCGCCACCGAGCTGTGCCTGTTCGCTCCTCGGCCACATGGGAAGGACAGCTGCATGCACAGTTAGGAGAATTAAAAGACTGTACTGGGAAGCACCTGGGGCTCTTCTAGGGACATCTCTGGACCCACAAGGCGCTCAAACACTGCTCCCCCCACCAGGCTTCCAGGCGGCCTCAGACTGTCCCCGTAAGCCAGCACGCTGTTTAGGTTTCCATTGCGTGTTCTCACACCGCATGTAAGAATCTATTATACTGAGAGTATCTGGCCCCTGGTGAGCTTCCCTCTCAGGAAGGTAACTTCATTTGGTGGGTCGGGGCTGTTTTGTTCCTTTCTGCAGCCTCAGGACGTAGCGCTTGACAAATGTATGATCGGTGAATTTTAAAAAAGGAATTAGAAATACAGAAAGATAAACTATAATGAAAAGTAATGACAAGAGTGCAGAAGGAAGCAAATAAAGGAGAAACGGGACTGTAGGATCCACAAAAGCAGCACCGACATGAAAAGTGGAGCTTAATGGTCTTAGAAAATGTTTTATGAGACGCCTTAGTTCATGTCAGAGCTGAACCTTCATGAAGCGATTTATGAAAAATCTTGCTCTTTTAGTAATACTTTTCAAGTTGCTACGGCATCCTGGGCATCGCCTGACTCCCAAAATGTAGCCCCTGCAGACTCATACACGGAAGAGAAACCCCTAAGGGCTCCGACTGTCTTTGAGACAGTGGTGCGTCTAAGACATCACGCACTGAAATTCAGAGAGATTGCGGTCGCTCTGTAGTGAATGAATTAGATCCACTTTATCTAAGAAATGAACAAAAATCAACCTTGTTTCATTCGCATTCAAAAGGACAAGACATTACGTAAACTACACAATATGTAGAAGAAAGTTCAGAAATGAGTTTGGTTAGTTTTTGGTATTCAGGAAAAACACCATCAGAATTAGAGGGAGAAAAACAGATTAAAGCTACCCTCCCACATAAAATCAGAGCAAGATTTTCAAGCAATTATTAAATAACTTCATTTGCTTGATCAAAACATCATCTTTCTCGGAAGTCAGGCCAAGCATTATATAAGAGTTAGTCTCAAGTCTCGTTTGTCATCAAAATAAGCAGATTGTTAAAGTTACCCTTATTGAAAAAAAAAAAAAGTACAGGAATTGCACAATTAGTAGAGGAATGGCTGGTGGTAACACGGCAACACAGCTCAGTGTGATCTAAAGCAGCCAAGTAGAGGTTTTTATGGAACACAAAATCCATTCGTCAGGCATTAGTATGAAATCTACAAATGACTTAAAGATCCACCACATGCCTTCATAGACAAGGAAGCCCCTGACTCCCCCGGGCTCCGTCCTCGCTCTTGGTCCCACCTTGGGCACCCAGGCCGCAGGTAGCCAGTGCCACAGGGACACTAGGAGGGGAGACCAAATGTTCCTCTCATCGGTGGGGATCCTGCCACTCAGCAGAAGGGCCGCGGAGTTGGGATGGTTCTCGGCCTGCGGGCC